AAGTGTTGTGTTTTTGTGCAGAATTGTATCGTTTGTGTGTCAGTCGAGGGCTTCTGCAATATCTTCAACCTGTCCTCCGATTCCACTCCCAAACCAAACACCACTCTTAAGACAAACCTCTCCTCGAAGTCGAACGCTATCATCGATTCAGACGAGAAGTATGTGCCGAGAGTTTTGACCCCATTTTACACACAAAGACTTCCGGCCAACGCAAAGGTCGCATGTCTTGCGGACATCGATAATGACGGACAGAATGAGTTCATCGTCGGTCTGACAGATCGTGTGGTGAGGACTTACCGATGCGTTCAGATCAGTGACAAAATCAAATTAGTAGGCATTCATAAGTGGGAATTCATCGATCAAATCGGCACTCTGTCCCTAAATCCAGTGCCGATTCGCACCACTGATGACAACGATTATGGTTACGGGCTCAAGACGTATAACATATTAGTGGCACAACCAGGGGGTACTTACGCTAAGCTTGAATGTTGGAATAAAAGGCTGACCATCACCAGCGATGACCAGTTGGACAGTTCGCAAACGGTGTCCAAATTGATGCCCGAATACTACGAGCTATCGATCTCTCAGATGAGAAATCCTAGCATTAGTACAGGTATTCATACTCTGTATTCAGTATTCATTGTATTTATTATTGTTCTGTAATTGTGTCTGGATCAATGGATCAATTAGAGATACTCGGAGGAATTAAAGGCCGGACCAGATCTGGCGATAAATCAGATTTATTAATAGCGTTGGCGACCCTCGACGGAACTCTTATGTTAGTCGACGGCTCCGACATTCTGTGGTCAATACAAGTGGATCACCAGTTGTTCTCATTATCCAAACTCAACATAACCTCCGATGACAACGAGGAGATAATAGCGTGTTCTTGGGATGGACTCACTTATATCGTGGACCACAACAAAGAGTCGCTTCGTTTCAAGTTTGAAGAGCCGGTGTCTGCGTTCGTGTCGGGCGAGTACACCATAGACCCGGAGCAGCCAAACGTCAAGTGTCTGGTTTACGCCACTTTCAATAACACCATCTGTTTGTACTTCAATGTGGACATCGATCGTATCAAATCCAGTGACTTCTGCGAAACCATCCAAAACACACCCGATTTGGTCCAAGACGTCAGACAACTCATGAGTCGATTAGAACTTCCAAACGATGACATGTCGTCCATTCAATCCGTTTGTTCTGATATTCTCTTTAGTTTACCATAAATTTTGTTAAATATTTTTATTATTTATTAAACATTTTGTTAAAACATTTTGAGATATATTTTTACAATAAAATGAAGTGTTTTAATACTATTTGAATGTTTTTTCGAAAGCAATAAAGTTTAATTGTTAGTTTAGTATACTATTTTGATTTGATTTTTACTTATGTTTTAATTTTCGATACGATTTTTCAATAGTTATTTTAATAAAAAGTTATAAATCGACTGATAATAGAAAGAAAATGAAACAAAAGTGCGTTAATTATACGATAATTACTGCAACAAAAAATAACTAAATTATAGGCCAATTGAATGATTACTGCAAGTCTTCGTCGCGGCGAAAGAGTAAGTATTGACACAAATCGGTGTGAATTGTGTTGAAATCTATGCCGAAAACACGGGCGCCGTTGGTCTCCAGTTGGCGACAGCCTTGAACTCCCAAACTCTTGCGGATCACTATTCGGGAGCTTTGTTTCAGAGACAACGGATTGGTCTGTCGTGTGTCCAACCAATCGATGAATGTTTTGAACTCTCGATTGTAGAACTCCTGGTCCTCGGCCTCAACCGACACGTCCTCCGACGGGTCCGCCAATTCTCGGAAAGTTGCCGGCAGTTGACGGCCCGACAGCACCAACATCTTGAATGCCTTCACATTCATGGGCGAGAAGTAAATGTGTTCCCAATCGATGTCTTTGAGATCAGCGCCAAAACGGATCAGCTCTTCGGCGAAGAATCCGCACTCAAGCCATTGGAGCGCAAACGAGACGGGAGTACACGGACGCGGACTATGATCGACCCCATCCTCTTGGATGGGCGCCACCGGACCCGACACTGGATTCAGATTGCATTTATCATAAGATATCAATGCTTTAAACAATGGTTTATAGCACTCGTTGGGCACGCAATACATCGCCCATATTAGGTAATGCAGAAGTGAGCCATAGATCCGGTCAAATGAGTTCACGTCGTCCGACATCTCCACCAGTCTTTTCATCGTTTCGGCCATACCTTCCATATTGAATGGAGTCTTAGAGACGCAGTGCTTCACGAAGAACCAGATGATGGGCTCTGAACCGAAGGCCAGCAGTGGATTTGACTTTGATTTGTAGTTTTTCAACAAAATGAGTGCCGTTTTGAACTGTCGATTGCAAAACGATTTCTTCAGTTCAATGTGTTGTGGACTAAGACTTGATCCGAACTCAAACAGTAAATCAGTGGCCATTATGTCGCCCTTTTCGATGGCATAGCAAATGGGAAGCAGATTATAGTAATTCTTGGCGTTGGGATTCGCTCCCAATTCCAGCAAAAGTCTTATAATTTGTGAATTGCATTGCGTTTGGACAGCGATATGAAGACATCGATTGCCACTCAAGTCGGCAGCGTTTGGATCGCACTCTTTGGCGCATAACTTCTTAATCCAATTGACATTCTTGTGACGGACGGCCATATGAAGGGGTGTCTCACCGCTGCCGGGGCTCTGGAAATGGAGTTGTCTTCCGGCGGCAATCAAATGGACCACACATTCAGGGAATGCGTTCATCGCGTACTCAATGGGCGATTGGTTTTCGTAGTAAACACAACGGGTCTGGAGTCGGGCGAAGAGTCGCACCAAACCTTCGTTTTGTCGCTCAATGGCTCTGAAGAGCACCGGAAATGAGTCGAAACGAGAGCTCTTGTAATCGGCGCCGCTGTTGACGAGCAGTTCCGCCACTTCTGCGCTTGGATTGCGCCACAGACTCAGCTCCAGAGGTGTCTCGCAATTGTGGTCACAGGCGTTGACATTGGCGCCGAATTCGAGCAACACTTGGATCAGTTGGGTGTCGGCCACCATCACCGCCACGTGGAGTGCCGTATAGGTCTTCACGGACTTCTTGTGGCCAATGGCTGCGACGCCCCACCAGTAGGCCTGCGAGTGAGGCACTGGACCTGTCTTCGCGTTCACATCAGCGCCGGCCTCGAGGTATAGGCGCACGCGATATGCGTCGTTGTGGGCGACCATCACATGCAACGCACTGCACCCCGGGATCAGCTCTTCGCCCACTTGTGCCACAAACAGGCGGTCGTCGATGTGCTCAGCTTTTGCTGAACACTGTGGCTGAAGAGCAACAATAGTCTTGTCTCGTGTCATGTCTGCCATGGCTTCCATCGGATCCGATGTCTCGTATGAAAGCTTTCACTGCTTTTCAATGTTTTTCAATGCGTTTGACAACCGATTCAGTGTTCAGTCGAATGACAAATGATTCACAACTCGAGTCACACACTAGTCATCACTCACTGTATCACTCGTTCACGCATTCAGTGATTCACTCGAATATACCACTCATTGACCAGTGGTTTGGCAGTGAATGTCATTCGCAAGCAATTGCTCTCATATCCAAACCCACAGTCACTGAAAGTGTCACACAATTCGTGAATTGAGACCAACTTTTAACTTGAACTCATTATTTTGTATAAAACATGATTGAATGGCTATAATAAATGCATACAAATTACCAAAACCCATATTTTCTCCCCCAAACACCCCCTAAACCCATACGTGTGTACAACCCACTGGTATCGCACTGTACATAAAAACCAACCAATCAAATGAATGATGAGTTAATTGTTTGACAAACTGTTGGATTAAATGTGAGACAATGGTGTAAATGAAGTGAAGTTCACCTATGAAACAGTGAAATGATAGCCACTCCGGGATAGCCTTCATTGAGGACACCCCTGCTATCACATCCATCAATGCGTTAACTGTAATATATGAATGCATTACAAAATTAGACAGAAGTGTCCTATGATTAAATGCACACTAACCTAACCTAGGTCAAACATTCTAGAGTCAAACCTATGAACAATTTTCAAAGTTGTAAAGTTTCTAAACAAGACGTACTCTATTACTACAGCAATGCCTACTCAACACTACACTCTAACCCACGCTATCATAACATACTTTATGAATAGTAATGAGATCTGTGAATGCGATTTACACTTCAATATAAATTTATTATAAAAGGAGTACATGTAAAGTGGGGGGCTTTTGGTGGCTATTTGTACAAATAATTTAATTGTCTGTTATGTCAATTCAATCACTGCTTAAGTAGTGATTTAGTGTTCAATTTATTGAATCCATAATATGTTTGTATTTCACAAATACTTGCATTCAATATGGATGTAAATCTGGTTGAATGTCTAAACCCCCGTTGTGAATACCGTACATAAATCACTTACTGAGTAAGTATACTTTACATTTGTACTCTACTTTACAAACTTGTTTTGCATTTTGTTTAACTTAACTTAACTTCGCTGTTAATCACTGTATTAGGTGACAATTAGATGACAATGAGTGCAAATACCGTCAATTCAGTGGTGGTTGTGGTGATGATAGTGTTGGTGGTGATGGTATGTGCGGCGAGTGGTGAGTACGAGGACTTCCGATGCAAGTGTGTCTGTCCATCGGTGGGAGTGGTGACCAATGGGACCAAACAGTCTAACCGGAAGTTGTATATCAAGAACATAAGTCCCAACCGATGTAACTGTGATTATGTGGTTTTGCCGCAACTCGATGTCGACATCCAGGACAAGGCCAAGGAGTTCTGCCCCCGATGTGAGTGCAAGTATGAGAGCAGAAACACGTCGACCATCCGCTTCGTCAAGTAGAAGTAGTAGCCGTAGTAGAGTAAGGAGCAGCAAATGTACCGAAAGGAGAGTGAGGAGCTGGGAGAGTAGGTATTCGTGACATACAGACTGGTGAGAAAGTGAGAAATGGGCAGTATAGTGTAGAGATACTGATGTCATACTGTAGTGGTTTTGTTGAGACAATACGGCTACTAATTGTTAGTTTGACATCATTTTAGGGGTTATGACATATGTTTGATATGTTTATTCATTTGAATATATGCTCATAGATTCTATACAGTAATATATATATATATAGACAATAGTTTTATAAGTTTATAATATACAGTAGTTTTCAATATTATCAATACGGTATACTGTAAGTGTAATATAAAGTTTAATGTAATATTAATTTGTTTTGAATGTGTGAATGAACACCAAAAGCGGTGGCAACTCGTAATTATGAAGAACACGTGGACGAAGAGGTCTCAATGGATGAACAGGTGGTGTCGGACACGGATGGGATCACCCGAAGACGTGCCACCACTCCTATCATGTAAGTTAGGCACCCAATGGCTCGATACATGAGTTACATTGTATTGAGTTTACGCAAAAAGCATGCGATAATGAGTAGAGAATTGATGTAATAATGACTTGCATTGCATGTCGTGGCGATTGGGCAGAAGTCCGACCACTTCGGGAGGTCCTCCGGGATTCTTATACGACTTATCTCACCCTGTTGTTGTCTGGTTTACCTTCTTTGTCCAAGTCCTCGTCGCGTTCTTATAGATGCTGTTCGTATGATACGAATTGACTGTATGGTCAGGTGAGTTGGGAGTATTCATTCAATTGTTTGATTGCTTTATGACTATTATTATATGATATATAAATAGATGTTATTTATTGATTATATTTATTTACTCTCTATTCTAATTGAATCATAAATCCTGTAAATGGGATATAATTTGTAACTCAAAAAACAATTACTGCTATAAATTGTGTTTTTATTTGTTTTTTGCAATTAAATTAATTGTTTTTATTTAAAGAACTCTTTATTGCAATAAAAATCATTTTACCATTCAATTGATTATAACAACAATTTTTTAATAATATTCATTGACATCAAAATATGTTAACTGTTTTATAATTTATAATTATATTAATTTGTATAATAATTATGAATTTAAATAAAAAGCTTATTTTTTGATTTAGAAATTGAAATCAAAAAATAATTTGTTGCAAATCGAAAGACTGACAAATATATGTATCACTTATTATCCAAAACACATTAACATTCAGTTTCGCTCTTAAACGCCACCTCCGGACTGCTCGGGGGCTCCGGCGATGTGGCCATTGCTCTGCGCGACAGAATGGGAGGCGTCACCCGAGACGAGGAGGTCGGCAGACTCGACACGAAGCTGGCACTCGCTCTCCGGCCATAACTCACTACAGAGAACCGTCGCGGAGGAGGAGGTCTTAGCTCTCCGTCGTTGTCGTCGTCCTCTTCGTCCTAATAATCAAATTCATTTCATGTAAATGTGTTTCAAACGGATTTGGTGTATGATATGAGACCTCAATATTGATGAGAATATTAGTTCCCTTGTCTGCGATGGACTTTCTTCGTCTCATTTCAAACAAAAGTCCTGTGAATTCGTCTTTGAGTTCTTCGTATCTCTTAATAAAAGCTGGTTCTCCGCTATCGAACTGTTCGGACAGTTTATGCAACTCATACTGGACTTCATGTAATTTGTTGGTCAGATCTATGACTCCATCGGTGGTTGGGTTCATATAAAGGGGCGATTCATAGGGAATGTGACTCTTCTTGCGTCTCCGGGACTCACCGGGAACTCGTCTGCGGCTCAACAAAATGGACAGTCGATTGAGTTGTATTTTGAAGAGTTTTGCTAATCCTTTAGCACTTGGAATCAATTGAGATGTCGAGCAGATGGAGACATACAGTTTGCCATTGAATGAGAACACATTGAATGCAAGCGAACAATAAGACGGCGCAGACATGAAGTATAAGACTTTGTTGAGACGATAGGAACCGATACTGACATTACTGTCCGGTCCACTGATATTACTTACATATAGAGAGGAATTTCTATTCACAATATTGAGTAAAAATTTGTAAATTGAAAGCGGAAGCAAACGACTAAACAGATAGTGTGCACCTATTGACGGGTTTCATAGGGTTGGGCACAAAATAGTTTGATTTCATGTTAACTATATGTCAAATTATGATATATTTCTTGAGATAACAAGTTTAGCCCTACCATACATGACAGCCGTGTCGGCCGAAGTCTTGAGCTCTTCCATGAGATGTCTAACCTCCCAGAGTCGCGGAATTGCGCCTACATTTAGGAAATGATTTTCAACATAATTATTGATCTCAATGAAAACATCTCTAAATTTGTGTTTCTTAAGAATGATTTCCATTTATTTGTAACGGAAATCAGACTAAAAGCATAAACTACTTAATAGCATCAAAATGAATGAAATGCATTTAAAGTGAGTTCAATGTTCACAAACCTTCAGTATTGGTTGGTATCGGAGATGTGACTGATTAAAGTGGTTAATAAGCATTGGAGGAGAGAATAAAAAACAATATTTGAGTTTTAAATGCACTTTTAAATTAACTATAGAAACAGGAAATTTGATTCAAACTTTTATTGGAAATCGTAAAAAATGTTTAATAAATTAAAAATATTTATAATGATTTATACCTAAAACATAGTTAACGCCCACAAGACTGTCCTCCATGTGATTGTTGGGACAAATATCAATGGGAATCGATATATTAAGGTCGGGAGGGTTTAGTATTTTGGCTCTCGTAGTGAGATAAGCTCTGACCGAACCGGAGATCGTCGATATCAAGAGATCATTTAACGTGCTGTTCATTAAGACAAAACAATTCAATCGTAAATAAATTGCTATCATCAAGATGTTTGCATCATTAGTTTGGATACTTATTTTAAATTTTAAATTTAAAATAAAATGTTTAAATATCATATAATTTTATACTATTATACTGTATATAACAATAAAATACTAATATATTTGTAGTCTAATGAACTATAAAGTGGGAAGTGCCGGTAATATGATAGTACTGTATTCCTACCTTCGCGTTACTTGTTTAACTCTGTAGACCCGGGGCAGATCAATGGCTGTCCAGTAAATGGATTTGAATGATTTGTTTTTTGATTTCTTGAGGTAATTATTATGTCTTCGAGTGAATGCCCACACAATCCATAAGAAGAATGTGAGCGGACCTACGATGACTGCTCTGAATATGTTGATGGGAAGGGTAGAGCCACCGAATCGGGCTTTAATAGTGGACTGAGGGGGCGGAGAGTCGGACAGGTATTGAATGAGAATGGAGACGAGACCGGACTGCGAGAGGGACTGATGGACGCGAACGATAAGCACGACTTGATTGCAGTATTGGGCGAATGCATAGCGGATTTGCCACAACGGCTTATCTGATGGAAGTGTTTGAGACATCAATTGTATTAGTCTTTGTCGTAAAGACTTTCGGTTCAGTATTGGCTCGTCTTCTATAATATGTTCGTCTAAAGTGTCGAAATTATGACTAATCTTCCAGTAGGGAGACCGAGAGATGCCTTTATAGATGAGACGAGACCTGAATCTTATGAGTTCTGGTCGACTGAGAAGTCTGGTTGAGATGATGTCTTGTAACTGTTGTCGAGACAAGCCTTTATCGATGTAGAGAAGGCAATGTGTGATGTGACCGGAATTGAGCCAAAATGAATCTATGGGTGCAATCTTCTGGTGGTTCGCTAAACTGTCATATACTGTGCGTTTGTGTGCAGAGTGATCATGACACTAGCCGTGGTTTTACTTGTCTGTATTCTGTTAGCCGTGAGGTGAATCATAACGGTTATTACACTTCTTGTTACAGTCATGGAAAATGCCGGCTATATTCCTGTCCAACGGGTGCACCAAATAATCCAACTTTATATCCAATTTATTTGTTTCATGTGATAGATAGCAAAAAAATGTAATCAATTACTGTTAATACAATTTATTATAATGTATTTAAATAAATATTTATTCTATACTAATACTATTTATTATGCGATCAATATTTGTCTCTTTTAAGAATATTCTCTATAATTAACAATAAATGCAAACAAATAAGGCATTCAATGCATTAATCATTAGCTTATAAAGAATATAAAGCTTTGTTTAGCAAATAATTTAGTCGATTTTCCGCTACTAATTCTGTTTTATTGATATTTTATGTTTACTTCATTTATTTGAATATATCTAATCAGAGATTAAATTTGAGTTCAAATTTTCCCTTCAAAATGCAAATATGCAATAAATTTAACTCAAACTTCTAAATTAAGTTAAACATATCACTCAATGTTAAATGCATTTAATTTTATTTTAGAGATTAGCTTAATTTAATAATAACTCAATTCAAAGGCACTTCAATCAACACTTTTACTGATGTTTACACATAATACAAATAATAGAAATATTTAAAATAATTCCTTAACATTAACATCAGTATATAATTGAAGTGTTGATGAAGAATCCGTGAGTTGAATAAGAATTTGACCTAAATTTTGAGACTCAGATTAAAGTTTAAGTAAATTTAATGAAAATTTAATGTCAAATTCTGTAAGAGTTAGATCATTACATGCATTCCTGTAGTGTTACTATACCTGTGCTATAATATTAATACTCATAAAATACTAAAAGCATTCCTATATTAAACAAAAGTGGTGTCAAAAAAGATAGGAGAGATTCATAATTATAAATAATGTTTGGTTCAGAGATTTGTTATGTGCATACCTGACAAGACTTGATACCACCTGAAGATTTAGTGGAAGGAATGGTGTAATTCTTGGTGGCGTTTTCGGTGAACGAAATCTTGGTTCTCTCGTTATCATCAAGACGTAACCACAGTTACGACAGTTATTACTATAGTAAAAATAGGTAATATCACTTCTTTTGCCCTTTAAGACTCCATCTCTCAGTACTCTATCTCAACTAACAACAGAACGAGAGGTAGAGTATACAAAATTAAGTGAAAAGGATTTCCTAATAAAAGCGATTCTAATAAATCGATTGTATTTGTAATACAACACAACATTACAATTAACATCAATTCGTCATATTATACATCAATTGATTCAACAGATGATATATTCTAACATTTATGGACAGGTATGTCAAATACTGCTACATATTAACGAATACATTGAGATGTGAATTATTGAATTAATGAGACTTTCTTAAAGCTTACACAAGTAGTTGAGACACGATATGAGTGAACAATTGCTACAAACAACTGCTGCAAAGCTATCACTTGTTTTGTAACATTCACTCGACTCACAGCCAGAATATAATGCAATTACTGGTAGAGACCATTGAAACCACATAATACTAAAACTCATAGAATATACAGAATATACAGTATTGTACTCTACTTTGATGTACCACTGGCTGTAAGTCACTGGTGATGATCAGTTCTATCATATCTGTGGCGCTGGCATTGTGTGGGTCTGTCTCTGTCTTTACGCTCTCTCAGTAGTCAATCGTCTCAATCGGAGTGCAGTTTGAATGCCAGTGAAACAGATCTGCTCATAACGTACACCTAATTTAGTCCATTCTCTACACATTCTCTCCCATTCTCTCCATTCCCTACTCCATCATCAATAAGCAATCAATCGCTTTGTCCACAAATCCTATCATAGAGGGCATCGACTACTACTGTCTACTCTACTCCACATAACCATTCTCTACACATTCTCTCCCATTCTCTCCATTCCCTACTCCATCATCAATAAGCAATCAATCGCTTTGTCCACAAATCCTATCATAGAGGGCATCGACTACTACTGTCTACTCTACTCCACATATCTGTACACTCACTCTATGCCTAACCATTATCTACTTGCATACCGTATCTACCATACAGTATACTCCACATAGTATTGTATCCGCATATCCTCATAGCCTTATAGCCAGCACTATGTCATGCAATAGTAGCAAAACCAGGGATATAAGACATTGAACGCTGTATGGCAATAGTGAGCCCAACCTAACCAACCTAACGGTTCTGGTGCAGTCTTGTGCTCAATTGTAATGTATTAACTCTTAACCACGCCTTTCCCTCTTTCCTTATGTCTGTTCCCCTTAACGAGTCGTCGAGAGCACCGGCGAAGCAAATACACAAACAGTCATTCATTCACTATTTCGCTCTAACTTTGTGTGTCTCTGCTCTCGCCGTAGCGAACAGTTCCCAATGTGTTCACCACTGTATGTCTCAGTGCGTGAGCCATAGCCAGCCCTCTCAGCCCTGTCTGTGCTCTTCACTAGTTTATGGAATCTGTTCTTCAAAACACATATAAAATAATATTTGAGTTTTAGTTGATTTCTGCTCTAAACAGACATACAGTTCCTTCAACTTCTCTATCATTCGATACTGTATTCCGAGTTATATTTGATATTTGTTTTGAAAGTGAATTCTCTGCTCTCCCTGTGCTCTCAGCACTACATCTCACTCGTGGGAGGCGTTGCATCCGAGATAACGAATACAGTATATTATATATACTGTATATATCGTACATGTTTCATATTTAATGCAATTCTCCAATAAGTCATAACTTTTGATTGCATTAAATGTAATAATAATCGTCAAAACTGTACATATTCTGCATATATGATCGCAATTTGTGAAAATGCCAGTCATTATACTGAGCATTAATACCATTATCTNCGCCTTTCCCTCTTTCCTTATGTCTGTTCCCCTTAACGAGTCGTCGAGAGCACCGGCGAAGCAAATACACAAACAGTCATTCATTCACTATTTCGCTCTAACTTTGTGTGTCTCTGCTCTCGCCGTAACGAACAGTTCCCAATGTGTTCACCACTGTATGTCTCAGTGCGTGAGCCATAGCCAGCCCTCTCAGCCCTGTCTGTGCTCTTCACTAGTTTATGGAATCTGTTCTGAAGAAACACATATAAAATAATATTTCAATTTTAGTTCATTTCTGCTCTAAACAGACATACAGTTCCTTCAACTTCTCTATCATTCGATACCGTATTCCGAGTTATATTTGATATTTGTTTTCAAAGTGAATTCTCTGCTCTCCCTGTGCTCTCAGCACTACATCTCACTCGTGGGAGGCGTTGCATCCGAGATAACCAATACAGTATATTATATATACAGTATATATCGTACATGTTTCATATTTAATGCAATTCTCCAATAAGTCATAACTTTTGATTGCATTAAATGTAATAATAATCGTCAAAACTCTACATATTCTGCATATATGATCGCAATTTGTGAAAATGCCAGTCATTATACTGAGCATTAATACCATTATCTCTATGTTTGAACCAAACTTACTTTCGGTGAACATTGCTGGAGTGCCTTTACTTTTATAAAAGCACATTATCATTAAGTTTTAGGTAAGTTATCAAAGCTTTTGCCAAATTAAATGTAAACTTAACTTATATTGTATTATATTTCAAACTACAAAACTTAATAGTGCTGTAATAGCAGTAAAAGTACATTAATTTTATTATATTAATGATCTCCAAGTCATAAGACTGTGTGTGTAGTCTTTTTTCTTATAATTTGTAATTTTATTTTCAAACATAACTTACATTTCATTTGTCTCTTTAATAAAAATGAAAAAACTTTGTAAGCATTCATACTATGGTTGAGGCATTGGGCCTAACCTTCTGCAGAATCTGCACTGTTATTAGCCGTTAGGTATTAATATGATTACAATCCATCATATTTTGTGCGAGTTATGAATCCTTAATACTATTAAATACATTAAATACAGTTATATTCACTTCAATTCAAGGTTAGTGTGTTTGAGGGGTTCAACACTTTGCGTGAATTGCAATCATTTGCGTTGAATATAATTTGGTGTTCACTTAATAATGGGCACCGAAATTGTTTCATAAATAAATTAATGTTACGTTTGTTACGAGATATGAAAAAATAATTAAAAACAATTAGTGCTCTAAATATTGAAGCTCTCATTGAACTCAAATCTATTGATTTTTATTTTATTCCTATTCTGTGTATCCCTCACAAAAAATATGCATTGCATGCGAGTGCACAGGGAGTACAGTTCACAATTTGACGAATGTATTATAAATGTTTTACGTAAATATTTATATTTAGCTGTAATATCAGGATCGCCACAATATTCTTTTAAATTTATGGTGTATTTAAATTCATCCATTGATTCATTTATATTAATATAATTAGTGCTCTAAATATTGAAGCTCTCATTGAACTCAAATCTATTGATTTTTATTTTATTCCTATTCTGTGTATCCCTCACAAAAAATATGCATTGCATGCGAGTGCACAGGGAGTACAGTTCACACACCATAACATTGGATAAGAGCCCAAATACAGACATTTGCGGACAGACATGTGTTCTGTGGCCTAAACATTGAATGAATGGTACATATAGAGAGAATTACACGAAAACACATTTGCGCTAAATTTTTCAGATAAAAACTTGTGTTGAATTGAATGCAAATGTAGTGCCGAAAGAGAGGGATCAGTTGACTCACGAGTGGTCCGACTCTTTGCATATGAGATCACGTTTCACTACAAAACTCTCATTTCGACTAAAAAATTCATTTAATAATTGTTTTGTGGGATAAGAGGCTATTCTTTCGTTGAGTCCACTCTGTATAATACAAATGTGTTCTACATATTAGGCATCTCTTAGTGTTCCGTCAGTTCTCTTATTATGTTATTTAATTCATTTAATGTTGAATTAGTGGTTAATTTGATGCTAACAGTGAAAAGAGGGTTAACTATAAAACGTCAGTCCGTTTTCTCGCTTATCCTCGAAGATCACGAATAAACATGAAATGGGAGGCAAAGGCCAGCTCTAAAATCAGGCGCTTATCTGTATCTAAAGTATAGAGTTTGGGCACAAATAACATACAAATTAATAGATTATAAAATGAGATAAACATAAAGTTGTTCTCTATTTAGAGTTAAAACTCAAGAGTGAATGAAAGTCTATATTTGTGTTACACTCCAAACAGATCAGCAGTATTTAGCAGTATTTCATAGCCGTGTTTGTAAGTAGAGTACAACACTCTGGGAAGGGTATCGCTCTCTGCTCCTTAAGAGGTCGACCCTCTCCAGCATTCATTGCATTTCTAACGTATCTCTCCTTCTCTTCATTTCTCTGCTGTTTTCCGCCAGAGATTACTCGTAAATACAGCTCTCAGTACCCAAAACATCCAGTATTTTGTTTATGTGTTAGCGATAGTAGTGGCGAACTGGAGGGCAGTGTGTTATGTGTTGTTATCCTAATTATCATTTCATACAATACTTCTTATTTCTATCTATCGATTAATTTTTGGTGTTTTTCTCAATTCATTCGTTTCCTGAGGACTAATAATTGATAGACAGATAGAGATTGAGATAAATTGAGAGCAACTTCTAGTGATTCCCAACAAATCCTAACACACATTCATTATCTGAGTTTCAATTTAAAAAGTTATTAATATTATCAACGCTCGCCTTTCCATTCAATCTAACATTTATTTAAAGAATTTGTTGTGTTTTTTATGAAAAATTTTTGTTTATCCATCAAAATAAAACCATTAATAAGTGATTGCAATTTATATTGATACCATATATTATAAGCTCAATATAAAGGAAATTCAAAATTATTGGGTGTCTGTGCGACTAAATTAAAGGCTGTGCCTGATATTCAACTTTAAATACCGTCACAAAAATATTTACAGTTACACAAGAACTGAAAAAATTGTTAAACTTTTTGTTTATATTTAATTAAAGGCATGTGTTATGTGTACCGATATTATGAATGTTTGAACATTTGTTCCTAAAAACGACTTAATTGTGTCCCAATTTCAGCTAACTTTCTTCATGCGATTCACAGCTTATGTATGAAAAACTTATATAATATTACATTAAATTATAAATTACGAAACGATTGGATATTAATATGAAGTGTTAAACCATTGCATATAATACGAGAGACAGAAGTAGTTTAATCTCTAATTAGAACAGTTTCTCACAATAAACGCCTTTCCATACACTGTATTATAGCTGTATTATAGCCCTATTTTCATGTGGTTTTCATAATGAGAAACAAGAGTGAAATCTCTATCCATTAGTCCTTCAGGAAAATACATTTAAATTTATTCATCAATTCAATCACAACAACAACTCTTCTCAACTCATTAAATCTCAATTTTCCTCGTTTTCACCGTTAGTGCCATAATATGGCGGTCGATGAAACCAATTCCAATGGTTCTTCACCTAAGACTGAGGAAGAATATGCCGATCGGATCACACGATTGCAAATGGAATATCTCATACCATTGAAGGAAGACCTGTCAGGTATGTGTCAACACATCTAATGTCTTAGTCTTATGCAATTGATTTACATACGAGGAAAACAATTGTGAATTCATAAAATATATGTTACTATTGACAGATTGGCTCAACAGAATACTTGGTAAGTGTTGTTCATATTTCGTAAACATTTTTATATCATAAATACTTTTATGAGTTTTCCTTAATGTTTAAGCATAGTGTACTTTTTATTTTTGCTATTAAAACATTTTTATAATAATTGATTTGCGAGCAAAAGTATGTTTTCGACAATTTCCATTTTACATCTCTTAATATAAAATCTATAATAAATTTAGTTTTATTTTGCGAAATAATAAATTTAATAATTTCTATATTAATTTCAAGATATATGATATAACTTTATATAATATACTTTATATTATATATTTACAATATTTTTGACATGTAGATAAGGTTTGTAATAACAGAACCATGTGTTTGACAAATATGATTATGAAATATAAATCATTTTAAATTACAAGCTCTCAAAAAGCATTAATTTTAATATATTTATAATGATAATACTATAGACATCTAACCTTAAAATTGAAGTATCATTTGTAGATTTCTTCTTATTTTTGTCTCTTAGAAAATGTTCTTAACATACAATAAAATAATTATAATACAATAATATTATATTGATTTTCGATATAACAGGAAATATATTTTGGAAATTAAAATTTTTTATGGCAAAGATTTTAAACAATTAGAGAAACTTTTTTTGACGTCTAATCTTATAAATTGTTGATATTATATAAGAAGTGATGATAAGAATTCAAAATATTTTGATTAACAGGTTTTTATGAATTGAATAAAATATTCAATCGATAAAAGCTTTTAATAGATAGTAATATAATTCATGACATCTATTCAAACATAATCTTTTTTTGGTTACACAGAAGTAATACACGAAAATGAAATACAGATAATGTATATAATAAACGTTTTTAACATTTACTTTAATTTTTATAACTTTAAAAATATTAAACTACTATAACATATAAACAAATGGCGCAAAATTCCTGTTTTCTGTCGACAAAAAATGTTTTTATAACAATTTCTTGTATTTATATTTACATTAGAGATGAGATAACAATAGCTGTGAAAAGTAGAGACGACTCGCAGTCAACCGACTTAAAGATAGACCCGAGTTGTAGCTAAAAAAGTACAAAAATTACATATATTTTTGAATATTTTTTATTGAATATCATTGAAGTGTATATAAATTATAATCAAAAGTTGATGTTTTGAAAGTATCATAAAAATATTTCTCCAATTCTTATGCTTTATTTAATTCCATAATAATTGGACTCTTTTTGCAAGTTTGAAGCAATAGAACCGATACTATCAGCCCTACTGTACTGTAGTTCACTAATAAAGGAAATGAGAGAAACGGGAAGTTTTTTGTAAAGATAAGTCTACAAACAGGCCGACAACAGCTTATTTAAATAATATTTTGCAAATTTTCTGCATATTATTTGGAAATATAATTTACTTATTTAGTATCCAATTTCTATTTTGTACACTAACTTCAATAAATCTAATAACGGTTTGCATTTAATTAGACTAATAAACATTAAGACATGAAAGAGTGGGCTGTATATCATTTACAGAAACTTTCTGACATCACATAAGACTTATTTTACTGTTATTTTTAATAAATAAGTTAACAAAATAATAAACCGATTATTATATTAGTGTATTGTATTATATTATTAGTGCAGTTCCTATTATGTTTCATATATAATATAAATCCAATGAATTTTATCTAAAAATATAATATTAGCTCTAAATAATCATAAGGAGTAGTGAGTGTTCCGGTCATTTGCGTTCACTAAACACGGCATCAGTTTGTTGTTTCACTTCATAAGAGTTTTATTTAGTTTTTATTCTCATATGAAATAAACACAAACTTCATAATCATCTCAAAAAAGAGTATTTTCTCCGATCTTTGCGAAACATCTTATCGTTAAGAATGAGTTTAAAAAGTTTGAAAAATATTTCTCCAATACTTAATGCATTGCAAACCTGTCGACACAAACTCCCTTTTATTCGACTCATGTTATTGTAATAATGATTGCCAACCGCATAGATATTAAATAGAAATATTTCTCCACACTATAACATCATTACATCATTTCCTCATTAAATCCCTGGACTGGGATCACGTTTTTTCTACTCACCTCTCAATCTATTTTTCATTCCCTTTTCATTCGCTTTTTTTTCATTCGACACAATAATTTTTGTTGAAAAAAGGACTTTTCAAAAAGTTTAATTATCATTAAATACCAAATTTATATGTCGTTAAATAAATGCTTTTAAAAACATTCTTTCGACTGATTATAAATTTTTTATGCCTTTTATCCAAAAATAATTTTATTTTATTATACATTGTAAAAACATTTCAATAGTTGATTGAGTTTTTTGATTTGTTGTTAACAGCTTTTTAAAATAAATTTACTGATTTCCTCTTATTATTTTTAATCAATTCTGTAAAGTAACAAATTTTATAACAGCTTTATGCTAATATATTGTAGATTACAAATACTGTTAAAAAAATAACTGTTAAGATAATTCATTAAAATTTTCTTTTCATTATGAATGCATTTAGTTATGTCTGTTTACTAAGTAATGAACTTTTCCCAAACTCTCCTTTGAAATCATTTCTGAATACTTTAAGACAAAACACTGTAAATAACAAATAATAATTGGGTTTCAGACACCGATGACATAACGGCCGATAACTTTATGTCCCGTTTGGACAACGGTGTGATTGTGTGTAAATTAGCCAAATTGATCCAGGACAATTGCGATGCCACTCAACAAGCCTTCAATGGAAAACTAAGTCGCGCACTCGAAGAGGTTACAGAACTTTATGCTTTATTTAATTCTCTAATGAAGTCTCACCCCCAGGCGAGTGAGAGAGAGAGAGAGAGAGAGAGAGAGAGAGAGAGAGAACTCAAATACAATATACTTAGACTAATAGAAATAAAAAGACAGCATTTATTATAGCGTATATAAACAGTAATGTGTTGTGGAATATAAGTTATATAATATGTATTTGAGTGGCATTTTCTGTTAGGACTCATCCCCTACCAGAACAAAGTGAACACTTGACTAATCAAGACTTTTGTTTCTGTATCACTCGTATACCTTTCCCTCAGGAAATTCCCATAAACGGAGTTAACTACAAGGGTTTGATAAGGCATACACTGGCTCCGACAACAACCAAATGTTGGGAAAATGCAAAATCTCAGTCATTCTACGCTAGGGTACAGTAAATTTGTATACCTGTAAACACATTTATATAAATATATCTTTATGAAATGATCAGGACAACGTTTCGAATTTTCTCAAATGGTGTCGAAAGTTTGGGGTCAGGGATGCCGTTCTCTTCGAGAGGTACCAACCATTACACCAACAGACCATTACATACCAATTGACAGTTATATCTCTTGACTGTCTTTTTAATGAATTCTCATAAATTGAAAGCAAACTCTTGTTATCTGACTTTCATTACACAAACAGCGAGGATCTGGTGTCTCACGTGAATCCCCGCAATGTAGTGCTATGTCTGCTAGAAATCGCACGAATCGCGTGCACTAAGCACTCGTTCAGTCCGGCGCCGGGATTAGTGCAGTTTGAACAGGAGATCGACGAACTGGAAAACGAGACCATCGATGGCTGGTCCGTGTCCTCGCTTTCCAACGATTGCAACATCAGCTATAGGGGCGAAGTGACAGCTGCCGGTGCTGTCAATGGCAATGGCAATGGACGGATGGCATCTGTTTCCTCTCTCAATAGCAGCAGCAGCTCCTCCACTATCAGTACAAACACATCGACCACTCCAACCAAACTCACCTCCGAATTGGATCACAAGGTGTGCCCAATACTACTCGACACCTGTACTCTATACTTCTCTATACAACTCTATTCTCTTCCCAATTCATCTAAACTACAGCTGTTTTCACAAAACTTTTCCAACCATACCATACGTTTTGTGTCACTGAGTAGTCTCTTAGGCTTTAAATCTTTTCTTTTATATTCATAACAATTGATTCTAAGCTTTATTTTATTTTATTTTCTTACATATGTTCAGAAAAAACTTTATTAAACTTAAACTATATATTAATACTAATTTAACCGATAGGTTATGTTAATTGCAAAGTCTTATTACGGACGTGAAGCGCATCAAGGGATACAAAGGCTTTCTGAAGGTATACCTCAAAACACTATTATTATTATTACAGTTATTATATTTACGTTAAACATCAAACTGAGTTCACTTTTATAATCAAATCGAGAAACATGTGATTAATTCTGGAATTAAAAACTCTGAATAATAAATGTTGAATATATAAGTGTCAAACATAGAGTCAAACAAATGTTTTTATCGGTCATTCATTTAAAATAATAAATCTTATGAATTTATTATTTCTTAGTTGTAGACTCACAAGTCAGATAAATAAATCTTTTTATTTTAGTTTTGCTTCAAAGCAAAAAGCATGCAACAAAAAAATGATTTTATTTTTTTTGTTGAAACCATCTTTTTCTGTCTCTAAAACAAGAAATGAAATAAATGTGAAGATATATAAACTTAAGAAAACTTTATTATTGATATTAATATAAATTTATGATATTATTCAAGAAAATAATTGAAGAGTACTGTAGAGCACATGAAAGCTAAATAAAACACAATTTAATAGCTTTTGTTTTGTATAATATTCATTAAATATTTTAATGGCTAATAAAGCGATTAATAGCATAGAATAAACCAATTATGTGTTCATTACTTATTCATACAAAAATTTATTTTTAAAAATTGAATAAAAGCCTTAATTCTTATTATTTGTGGCGTAAAATTGAAATTTTATGCTCACGTTAGGCATCATTTCCTAGTATCGGACACAACAACACCACATATCTTATACTTTTCTATTATTTTTGCAATTTTTTCTTTCGTTTAATTTATTCTTCACTTATTTGTGTTTTATTTAAAAGCTTGTGCCAAATATTAGAAATTCAAATGCATTTGAAAGTTATCATAAATTTTTCTCAAATAATTTTTATATATACGGTATATTAATAATACATATTTAGTATTTTCATTATTCATAAAACATATTTAAAAACTAGTATTGAGTGTAATTAAAAAGGTTTAAAATATCTTAACTATTAATTGAAATTCTGTTCTTAATTTCAAATCTCATATTTATATCATTTATAATAATTTGGTTTTAAATTTCAGGCAAATATCGTATCGCCAACCGAATAGTGTTCGTAAGAGTAAGTCAAACCTTATTTTATGTTTATTTTATAATAAGTTATACAATATATTCAATAAGAAATCATTAATTTATATACGAATCGCACGCCTCAACTGCTTTTCTGATTTAGTCAAAGATTTGAGATTCAAATCAAATGCTTATTATTATTATTGAACTCAAAAAACAGTATAACAGTATCGGAGAAGAGAGAAAGTTACTTATAGTACAGTATAATAGTGTTTGAGATACACCTTCCCCTTACATATCCAGCTGCAGGGCTGCATTTAAACATACCTGTGCCTTTCATGCCATTGCCCTACACTTTAACCCAAATAAAATCTAAACAAAAAATTGTACACTTTATTTTAAAAGCCGGAGTTTTTTATTTATTATTTCTAAATAAACATATTATGCATTCGTCGCACCTTTAAGAGTATTTTTAGCGCTTAAATCCTCTTATTATCGCAATTGCATTCAATTGAATATTAATTCAAACAATGGCTACAAACTTTTATTGATCTCTTAAATGAATGCCAATTTGTATTAATGGTCTATAATTCTAATATAAGAAAAATCTATTACAAGAGTTATATAATAAAAGATCTATAAAACGGTCTCTTTTTTGAGTGTAAAACTTTGTTAACAAAACGTGTCATTCGCTTCGATAAGTAAGGAAACAAAATATGTTTCAGAAAAACATTAATTCGCTTTGAAAATACACTTTAAGTGATTGGCCTTCAATACAAAACTGTTTGTAACAGTGTTTCACTCATTGTATTGTCCGTATAAACCAGTCCCTCAGTACTCACAAATTGACGCCAATTCCCGTACCGAACCATTCATAATGTATTACCGATAAGACAAATATTTTCGCCTTTCGTTGCCAATTGTTTGCAAGATGTCTATTACAAAGTGTAGTCTTGAGTACTACGGTGTGGTAGAGTAAATGCCTATTATAGTACTTGATTGGATCCTGACCCTTTAGCATACCTATTAGAATAACTAATATGTCAGAGTCATAGTAAGTGACTTCCGTATTGTGTTGCCGGCGCTCATAACTCTTGTCACTTGCAATGCAATCACAATCACTCAGATATCCCTCATTAACTAACATAACTGTCATAAGAGTTTGGGTTTTCGGGTTATTTGGGTTCACCTCTCGATTCTCTGCTATTTATTATTATTAATATTTATTTCACTCCTAATCCTATTACTGGTTAGTCATTCAAACACATGCATAAGAAATGCAAAAGTATTTACATTACTTCCAAATAAAGAAATTTGAGTTCATTTTTTCACGCCTTTTGTTTTATAAATCATTATAAATGATGAGTCGTTTTCTACTTACGAATCAAATGAGATAAATATATTTCTAACAACAAATTTCTTTATTTTTATCTCTCTTTCTCTGTTTATCTCGAAATGAAAAACAAAATCAAAGGAAATGATTTAAAATTCTATATACAGTATAAATATTATAACTTAATATAAGTTATAACAAAATGCATTCAAGTCAACAACAATTTATTTGATTTGTTCACTACATTGTATTGCAAAGTGATGTTTGCAAATACGATTAATTAGAGATCAAAAGTAGAGATTTGCTTTTAATTGCATAATAAGATAATATAAACTTTTTCATTTGTCAAAATTTCATTTAATTAATGAATTGATATAATAGGAGAGGTATTGAAGAGCAGAGGTATTGTGGGAAAACAATTGCCAAACAATACTTTAATGAAATATCACTTGATTTAAGTGTTTTTGTAATCGTTCGTCACCGACACACACGTCCTGTCCTCCCGTTCCCCTCACTCTGTAGTTAATTAGTTATTCAGCCGTAAAGCTATAGAAAAGTTATGATGACTTGTCATTCATGAATGAACGCTATATTTACTGCAATTTATTTCCATTTATTATTCGCTTCTTTTTATAAACAATATATTTATAATTATTATCTTTTTTTCACAGTTACTCAAAGCCCGTCATGTCATGGTTAGGGTGGGAGGTATGGTATGACATGTTGTGATGCCAACTCTTAAATCTTAAGTTCATTTCTACGATTTCAACTATTTTTCACATATATTTCGGAAATTTATTTTTGAAAACATTTTTTGACAGACAATTTGTTTTATAGATAAAAACAATTCCTTATGATTTATGATATTTTATATTTCACTTATTAATATATTATTTAGACTTTGGGTTCAATATATTATTAACTCAGCTTTAAATCATTTGATTGGATCCAATTTGACAATTCAATAATAAATTTCTTTATTAAACTTTTTTACAAGACTTTATAAAACTTTTAGATTGAGTTTTATTTTGAACTCATTTCCCTAAATTAATTACAACTTAAAGAGTTGTTTAGAAATGTAATTCAATTGCTATAAAAACGAAGATCTATTGATATATTGCTCTTTCAAATACTACTCTACTTTAAAGCAATAAAAGTTGAATTTAAAAAATATTTCATTTAATTCAATGTTTAGCGAGTCTTTTGAAACGACAAAATCTATAGTAATTGAAATCATATATGAAATGAACTTTTAGATTGAGAAATAGCGTCAATAAATGAATCTATAAATGGTCTCTAACTCTATAACTATTATTATGATTGGATGGACAGGCGGTTGGACTACTCTGAGTCATTTCCTGGAGCGTCACGGGGGAGACCCTAACCAAGAGATATCAGCTGCGGATCTGTTACCTCTGGACACGCGAGCCATTAGTGTGAGTCCTCGTCGTCGTAGTTATGCACCACTAGTCAGCACAACAGCACAAACCCCTCCGATCCCTAATACGCCCACATTTGGCCGTTACGTCAGCTCAACCCCCGTAAGCCGTCGCAGCTCACTGTCCAGTCCCGAGCCCTGGATGAGTACCTCAAGCGGCTACAGCTCGTCATCTGTCGGCTGCAACGGTAGTCCGCCATCACTGATGACTACCACTCGCCGACGCCGGCGCTCCTCTACGGAGACGTCATGCCGTCGACCTGTTCTCATACACAGGGCGTCCATCGGTGCTATCAGTGCCCACCAAATGGACAGCTCATTGACAGGCACTCCATTACCACATACTCGGCCAACATCTGAGCCAATTAAGAGTCGATATCCTAATTATTTGCACAGTTCTCAACACATAACCAATAAATCAAACGGAATTTCATCCCTAAATGTGTCAAAACAAAACATTTTCCGTAAAACTGGACAAAAGACATGTTAAATGATATGACATTTTTAAAACTTGTAATCATTAGTACTAACTGTAACTCGTGAGGATTCCTTGGATAAGCAATTTAATTACTTGTCACATATTTTATACAAGATTTGCTAAACAAATGTTTCCGAGAACTGTTTTCATAGATTTTCTCAATTTTGTTATCAATACTCTTAATCTAAGACCTGTTTTATATACAATTTTTATTACTTTTCATTTTTTCATGTCTTAAGGAATTAGTTATAAATTTTTTGTACAAATCGACAGATTTCATGTTTAATATAAGTCTATCTTATTATAAATTATATAAATTTATATAATATTTATATATTTAATGTGACTCGACATTGCATTAAATCTATTGCAATATTAAGTGAATTACAGATCATTTAATTATAATATTAAGTAATGCTTTTTAATTACAGAAGAAAATATTTAAACCGAATTTATATACAATTTAATTATAGTTAAACATTTTAAGATTTTGAAAGTTTTCCATTAAATTCAATTCTAAGCCAAAGTTGTTTATAAAATAAATAAAAAGTATATTAATATTGACTGAATTACTAGTTTATTATAAATTAATTATAACTTTCATTTCAATTAACTTGATCTGAAGTGAATGTTTATAACTCCAAAACAATTTAAGCCATAATTAAATATTTATGCATTCAATTAATGAAATGCATTTTGTTTCAACTCAAATTGATTTTTGTGCACTCATTTCTACCTTTTTGGTTTTGAGTTGACATTTACCTTAATTTTGATTAAACTTTATTTTTCAGAATTCCAGATCCAAATCAAATATTAAATTTACTTAGTTTTGCGGACATTTATATATTTCTGGTTTTGATTCACGAATTGGTTTGGGTTTTGGTTTACTTTAGGAATATTTATTTTTATTATTATTCCTTTCAGTGGATATAATATTTACTGAAGTTTTTCACGAGTGTTGTCTTAATACGAAACAAACGAAACAACAGTTATTGTAACCATTGATGGCGTGCAGAGCCGATGACCACAACTTCGTTGCTTCTCTTATACAACAATAGACTGAATAAATATTTAAAGAAATCTTTTTAAGACTAAATATAAAATCTTTTCCGGTATGAGTTTTCCATTAATTTATTTTTCTCTCCGCTTGACATCAAAAATACTAGAAATAAAATAATTAAAGACTTTTTAAAGTCTGCAAACACTTTGAACACATTGAATGACTTTGAAATCTGTTTTTAATTATTTCTATTTGCTAAATAATTGGCTTTACATGTGATGAACTGTCAATAAGTATGTTATTATTTATATTAATTGATATTCAAATATTATATTTGAATCCATTTTTCCAATAACTTCATTAAATATTGTATAATTTTCTATGAATTAAATTATTTGCATTTGTTGTAACTTAAAGTTTATGTAATATTAAAAGTTAATAATTGTTTATTTCTATTGAAGAAATCGTAGTTGAAAATAATTTAGTTATCATTTACCGTAATTTAGTATTTTATAATATTATAGCAAGTAACTTAGATAATTACTATTAAATTTTAATTGTAAATACATTAAGTGAAAAGTAAATTTTTATCATAAAATAAGAATAATTAAAATTAAGTAATCATGATATTTAAACGACAATATATTTTTTAAATGTTATCAATTAGTCTTAGACCTAATTCAAATGATACAAACAAAGTCTATAGACTTATTAGATATGTTAAATGAAATATTAAAATTAACTTAATAATTTAAATGTCAATGAATTTCTTAAAATATAATAATTGGTATTTTTGTACAGTATTTATAAGTTATTATTGACAGCAATAATTTAATTGTAGATTTTTAGTTATTATACAATTAATTTATTGGAACATAAATTGAAAATTATTTTTATAGTGATTTATTTATTATATTCTCATTTATTAAAATATGGATAATTTATTAAATAAATCAATCAATAGTTGAAAACTTAGTCTTTAATATTATAAAAATTGATTGAATCTTTTCATATTACAATTCCATTAAATATGATAATTATTAGGTTGATATCTAATAAATATTTTTAATTGACTTAAAAATAAAGTTATATATAATATATATTTCTATAAACGATTTTCAATAAAAAATTAAAGCGTTAAACTCTATAATTAAAATTGTCAAATTGACACAATTATCACTAAATCAATTAAAAATTTAATTACAAGATTAGGATAACTAACCATCGTTCAACATTAATTATTGCTTATATAAAAAGTTAGTTTTAATTACAAAATATACCAAACTAGTGAAGGTGAAAAGGTTTTTCCACATTAAAATTAAATGTACTTACAAGAATATTTTTGTGAGTATTTAACATAATTAACGAAAAAGTGAAATATTTTAATTGATATGTAACTGAAATTTTTGATTAAAATTTTTTTACGTATAATGAATAAAATTAAGTTCAATATAACTTAACATTTATATAATACAGGATAACACTACAAATTTTGAAATTTTCATATTAAGAATTAGTTTTAAATAGATGCTTTAATATTTTAGTTAATAATTATCAATATTATTGTATTGATTTGATGTTTAAAGAAGGCAAACTACCGTAATATCAAATTTCATTAAATATTTCGCGATATCTGATTGAAATTGTAATTAAATGCTAAATATATGTATTACTTGACGTTTGGATGTTAAAAATTAATTAAAAATCTTATACTGTAATACAGTATACAGGTACAGTATATAAATAGCTATTGAATCAATCATTACTTTATCAGTAATTTATGTGACATTTGCTGCTTACAGGCGGTCATTGGGTCTGAGATGTAATCAATTTAATAAATAATGTTTTGAATAGAGTATAACATAATTTAAATTAATAGTTAATTTATATGACAAAATCTAGAAAGTTCTCATATAGTAAACGTATTCTAGATTTAAAAATGTTTTGATCGATATTTGGAAAGATACACAAATATTTAAATGTGATCAATTATATTTCAACTTTAAGATACTCTCATAAAGTGATGGACTATTGATTATTATTACAATAGATTTGAAGATAATTTGGGTCATAAACAATGATTTAAATTCGTCTCAATCAAATAATTTTAGTTTATAGTAAACAACTACAATATTTTGAGAATGAAATGAAATTTTATGCCTAAATAAAGTGATTTTGTGTAAAAATAAAATCATGGATCAGTTTATGTGGAAAATCCATTAGACGTATGAAAATTGATATTCAGACAGACAATGAAGAATTGAATTAAACGCCGAGTAATTGATTATTGAATACAAATAAAAATATTAAACAAATGTCTATATTTGGTATAATTTAATGGATTTATGAATGGATTTCAATTTCGTATGTACAGTACAAATGATTATCTAATAAAAAATATGGGAAGCGTTCAACTAATGCCAAGTTTTCCAAATAGTTTTCCGATTTGACTCATGGGTCCGACCGCATAGTCCTTCTGTTTTTCGGGCGGAAGTGTTAAATAGTGAGGAATGGGTGCTTCTCCGGGCTTTATTGGCGGAGGTTTTATGTATCCCTTAATCATATCCGCGCCCTTTTCGCCGATCATAATAATTGGTGCGTTTGTATTGCCGGAGACAATGGACGGCATAATCGATCCGTCAATAACTCGGAGACCAGAAACTCCGTTAACTCTGAGCTGCGGATCAACAACAGCCATGGGGTCTCCTTTTGGTCCCATTTTAGCGGTTCCCACGGGATGATAGATTGTGGCCGTATATGATCGGGTCAGACAATCCAAATAGCCATCGCTGTATGGTTTAAACTTTTCGCATCCATACCACGTTCGCGACCAAACTCTAGTCTTGAACTTCTGGAAGGGCTCCGAAAGAGCCATTTTTATGGATATCTTCAACGAGTCGACCAATACTTTTGCGTCGTACGGGTCCTTCAGGTCTTATCAAAATAAACAAACAGTTTATTAATAGATGTGTTCATACATTTTTTCAGTTTAATATTAGTTTATTTATTGGCATTAGCAGTGAAAATTAACTGAAATGTTAAAGGGAATGGAAAATTTTATTTTAGACTTATTTTTATGTAATATGTTAAATAGATGTGTTCATACATTTTTTCAGTTTAATATTAGTTTATTTATTGGCATTAGCAGTGAAAATTAACTGAAATGTTAAAGGGAATGGAAAATTTTATTTTAGCCTTATTTTTATGTAATATGTTTTTTAATTTATTAAACAAATAAATAATGACATAAAATGTGTGTTAAATACGAATCGATTAATTATTGCATCTCAAGCAATCATGATATTACATGATTTATAAAATTGTTTACAACAGATTTGTTTTTAGTTTAACTATAAATATTATAATTTATTACTTAATAGAGTTTCACGAAATAGAGGGAATGATATCGGAATGAATATACAATAAAGTTTAAATAGGTGATAAATTAAATCTTAACTTTAAACCTAACTGTAAGAAGCTATTAAAATAGACATGTTAGCATTTAAAATACTGTAGCATTTAGTTAAATAATATGGCCTTTTATGAATGAATTTAAGCTTACTTATTAAACTATTCTGGCAAAACTAGTATTCTATTATAAACTTTTTCAAAACAATTTTAGAAAATAATTATGAGATATTTAATTACATTGTTTTTAAAAATCTGATTAATTATTTAATTTTTAAGTGTTGATTATGAACTTAAATTTAATCACCCTACTGCTTTGAATATTTAAAACAATTTTAAGGAAATTGAATTTGTAAAATTAATATTGAATTTTCTGTGGCTTAACTTGTTATATTCCTACATCTTGGTTAAAAACTCAATTATGTAACCTAATGTTTTATTCCAGTTGTTAAAATAATAGAGAACTTAAGTATA